TGCAATATATAATTAATAAATAACAAGCTGCAACGACATCGCGTGCATTTTTGTTTGTTACCGAATACTGCGATTCCGGACCATTAACCTCTGTTCGATACCATGTTTAAGTTGAAGGTATTTATCAAACAGTTCGAGGTTGTCACAAACGTGATTATTAAACGATTCGTATACCAAGATGCACAATTTAGGGGCCCAACAATATTATAGTGTTCGAGCTGTCTGAGAATGAATTATTTTCACTTTGCTTTATTATTAATCACCAACTATTAATATTTTTGTGCTTTTTTTGTCATGATTTTTATTTTCAATTAGCTAATTCACATGATGATAGTAATAATTTAATTGTTTTCACATTTTTAACAATTTTTTTCTTTAAATCGTTTTCAAACATTAAAAATATTTTTGTCTAAGTCAATAACCACAATACATTCAATGATCAGTTTGTATTCTTAGTTACAAAATAACAAAAGATAACGCAAAATTGAAGAGTGAAAAAAGTTGATTTCAACTTTTAATCCACAGAAGGAAAAAAATTATAATAGTTAGTTGACAATAGTAAAATTTGCAAATTTACTTATTACATTTTATTAAGGTCTGCAGATAGGAAGCAAATTGCACACGAGGGCTTAAAAACAAATAACAATAATCATAATTTATAATTTAAAATATACACATATTTTTAGCATACGAGTAATCCTATCCTAAGCTTAAGCAATATAAACAAAATAAATAACTACTTAAAAAAGCGCAGTAAGCTAGAAATGTACAAACAAAAAAATCCAAGATAGTGTTACTTTATAATGAAGTTAAGTATTAATATATACTTACTTTATATTGAAGTTTCAAAGTAACAAAATATTTAATGGTTCTTATGGTTACTTTGACCAAATTAACTTTTACCTATTTGTCACCGCAATGACGTATCATACATTTATGACACCCTAACATATTTAGGGACTGCAGGCATTCGACATTAATTACATTAGTGTATAACAAAATTGTTAATAAAAATCAGTAAGTTATTAATTTTGGGGCATGGGACCATCAGTCCCCTAGTGTGTTTGTGATAGGAAAAATCCAAAAGAGATATAAAATGTTAATTGGATTTTCAAGCCATGAACGTCTAGTCACTCTTATGGAACAAATACATTCATCTCTCCACTCAGAATCTAAAAGTTTAGGTTGAATCAAGAAATTATGCTTCAATATAGGTACCAAACTACCAACTCAAACGTCTACAATCTTATTATATTGAAATTAAATATAGGGAACCAATTGGGTACATTCGTCGTTCTGCATGGAATCTAAAAGTTTAAGTTAAATCTTAATTTAAAATGTTACGCTTGCATAAAATTGAATACATAATACGTTTCTACTAAAACGTAACTCTATTACATTGAAATTAAATTTTATTCTATAGTGTTAGAGTTCATACGAATAGCGTAATAATCTGCGTAAACGGCCGGAAACACTAAAAACTCTGACTTCAGAGTTGAATATGTCAGTAAAAAAAATGTACATAAATAGTTGTGATTTACTACGTGATATGTGTTTTTAAAATTAAAATATTTTTACTAAAATAACACCACTTGAAGAAAATTAGTCCAGAGTAATTCACATACTTTGGTTGTAACTATACAGTCTGCATTGACAGAATATTGAATAACAATTATTTATGCTGTCATAAACTTTATAATTTTTAACATATAAATACCTATTCAAGCAGTTAAATATTTAGTTTGTTATACATTTTATAATCTTACGTTACACATTATTTGGTTTACAATTTAAACATGGAACGATTGTGAGCTATTCTAATATAAATGTATACTAAACATTTGTTATAAGGGTGTTTTCAATTGATCTTAATACATTACATTTATTTTCGTTTAAGGATGATATATTAAAGGTTTGTATTATGATAACGGAAGTTTTCAATTACAAATGTGATATAAAATATTCTATTTTTTAAAAATATGTTCCTTATAATTATTTCAACTTCCTTTCCATTTTATGGTTTACTCGTTTTTCATTTACTTTATTTTATATTATATACTTTGATCACATAGTATCAAGCTATAAAAATCAAGGTTTATGAATGTTTTAATCAAATAAAGTATTTAGTTATCACTGATTACTCATTAGCTAGTACAATTATTTGGATTAGTTTGTGAAAATAATCAAATACCTTCGAAGTGTGATACAGGTACATAGTTTATTGTTTACATACAAACTAAAGTAATACGCATTATACTCACTTGAAAAAGTCACATAAATAATAATAAATCATTTTTAAAAGCAATATTTAAACGTTTCGATTAAAACGATATTATATAAATGAATAGAATATAATACAAGTAGATTCGATAAACATCTATAAATCGATACTTCAAAAAAGTATTGTAGGTTAACCTGCAAAGGCTGTAAGAGGTACCAGTACCAAAATAAATAATCATAAATATTTACGATTTAAATCCATAAAATGTAAGGTATTGTGCGTTTCAATTACATAAAAATAAAAACTAACAAAAAGTAGGTAAATATGATTATACGAACAGGATATAATTTGGGTATTGGACACTCGATTTGCTTCACTGCTCCTATTGACACAACTTTTTATTATAAATCGTATAAGTATTTTTAATTTAAAAACAATGTTAAAAATTCACATTGAAAAAGTAGAGGTTGGTTAACCACTAATGTTTTTAAAACTTTTTTCAATATTTTAACTCTTCTAAAAACAAATGTTTACTAGGTAACGGTTTTTGAGATTTTTTTATGTTTTAGGTATATTAGTTTAAAATTTAAAATTTAAATGAATTCACTTTTGAATAACGAATTGTATACATTAAACTTGTTGCCTAGTAAATTAAAATTCATGAATTTAAAATTATATTATAAATAATCTGCAACATTTTAAAATTACCTATAATTAAAAATTGCTTTGCTATACATATTAATTAATTACTTTTTTTAATAACTAAACACTTTTTATTTTTTTCATTTACCGAATGTTTTTTTGCTTAAATTTTCACATGAATAATTGAAATTTAGAAATTATATTCGGCGATCAAAAAATAAATTTTCAAATTTTTCTGTAACAAGAATGCATGACTTTGAATTACCTATTTCCTAATTTCCTATAAAAATAAAATCATAACTTACGCAAATTTCCAAAAATAAAAGTAGAATTTTGATCTTTACATAGGTAATAATAATAATAATATTAAACATACTTAGTATACAATGAATGTGTTTCTCTCTCTCTCTACTCAGAACCTTAAAATCTGATATCAAACAATACAATTGTTGAATCGACAATATCCAGTTCTAGAGACACGACGTAAAAATACTTACCAGTCACTAAAGCAAAATATGTGGGAGAAATAAAGATGATAAAAAAATCTTATAGGCGATAGCCGTGTTTGTTTTTTACTGAATTAAAACGTATGCAAACGCAACTTAAATGTTTTCTTTCTTGTATGTGTATAATTATATATTAAAAAACATGGTTCAAATATTCGTCAAAATAAAACAAAGTAAAAGGCACCTATATAATACTATAATGATAAGACGCAGCAATAGAAGCTAAAAAATAGGTATTTGAAATCAATCATACTTGTTATTTGGTATTTAGCATCGAATGCATTAGTTCATAATATTGCTCTAACTTTGCAGATTAATCAAAACATATTACTAATTATTATTACTCTATATGCTAATTACTCAAAGTTATTTCTTGTTATTCTTTTTGTGTTAATTGATTGTTTTGTTCTAATGCAAATTGTAGTTTATTTTCATTCTTATACTCATTTATTCATTTACACTACACATAATATAGGTACATATGAAAATGAATTGTTTTTATCGTTAACTTCGTACGCAATTTGTTCGACGTATTCAGTTAAGTTTGTTAGGTATAATATTAGTACGGTGCCCGATGGAGAAATATACTGTAAATAGTAAATAGTAAATACAATACTTCAATACATCCAAATCTAGAATTGAGAGGAACAATAGGAACATAATACGCAGTAGGTACGTATAATAATTATTAATTACAATTAAGTAACTACTATAATGCGTTAACCTATAGTTTTGTAATGATGATTACGATTGCCGACGTGGAGAAAAACGTTATTCATTACAACACTTTTCTTAAGTATATACTATATTCATAGGTACGTAGGTACATATTCGAAGCGTTGGCATTCTTAATAATATTACGAATCGTTAGGAAAACAATTAAGCCAAAAAAGGGAAACATTTTAAAACCATCGAAATACAAGTGGGTGTACACAATATTATTCACACTTTCTATAAGCACCTTCAAATAGCATATTATTAATATTTTGTGTTAAGTAGCTATGTATAATTTATAATAATCATACATTTTTTAATATTGTGCTACGGTTATTATAGTCCTTGTCATGTACGACAGCGTTATTATTTATTACATATTATAATAGCGTATAAGGACGATTGTCGCATTACCGATATCGATGATGATGTTTGGTTTTGGTGGATGGAAGATGGCCTTAAAAGGGGTAGATGGTAAGGGCATATGCGAATATAAAATGATGTGGTGCTGCGTAGACTTCAGCACCCCCTTCTTCAAAATTAGCTTTCTTGACAATCCGAGATTATTTTAATTTTTACATAGTATAGATATTAAATTTGGTATTCTGTTTTCCGTTTGATGTTGTTATATACTGTTCGCCATGAGAATGCAACTATCTCGCCCACCTAAATCACAGCTCACTGCATTTAACTATAATAATATAACAAGTACGTACGTTATGTAGGTACTATATTGTATACCAATGGTGTACAACAACAAACTGTATACTACCTATTACTATTATTGTAGCCGTTTATTACCTATACCTAACAATACCGGCTCGGCACTGTTGGCTAACCTGCCGGTCCGTTTGAACCGTCTCGCCGCCGCCGCCGATTTTCAAAACGAGTAGAAACGACAACACACAAACGCACGACTACGAGCACGCCGCCGGTCGGTACGGCGATTCAGTAATCAGCCGGCCGCCGAACGCGACGGATGTGTTCTGTGTTTGTTACCGTGAGTGTCAAATTATATCGTGTGTCCGTGAGTGCAGCGTGCGCGCGATGAAATTTTGTGGGACGCCGGCCGCAGTCGTCGTCGTCGTCGTCAGTCAACGTGCCCGGTGACCGGTCCCGTCCGTTACGCGTTAAGTTCCCACGCCATGCCGTTCGTGCAACGCGCCGTGGGCCCGGTCCACCTGAGCAGGGTGAAGCTGCACGACGAACACGGCGTACCCACAGTCCGGGACCGCGAGTTGGACGCCGTCACCAACTTCGCACTGAGCAATGCACTTCGGCAAATGGCCTCGGTGGCCGCGCTCGCCGATGAGGTGTTCCGCGAACTCCGCGACCAGTTAGCAGACGTGGCCACCAGGTCGGCCGGTCTTAAGCGCCGCGTCCAGGCCCTCAGCCACTTGGTCGACCACGCTGACCCCAAAGCCGTCACAGTTCGTAAGTCCAAAAAGTTATCTATACTCTGTATAACGTTTAACTTAAGCAGTGGCGAGCACAGGGGAGGGGAGGGTGGTCAAATGGTCCCCCCCCCAAAGTGTATTTCTACAAAATGTCCCTAACTTCTAGTAGCAGTAGGTAGTATGTAATTTCAAGCCCCTCTCAGGAAAAAAATTCTGTTTAGAACACTAGGACCTGTTAAATACAATATTATTATATTGTAAGGACAATACTCAGTTATACCTGGTTATAGAAACGTGCAAAAGTCTGCAGTATAAACGAGTACATACCTGAAACTTTTTATTTTACGTCTTTACGTAGGTATAGTCGGCGTTTTTATGCCATATTTATCATGTCACATAAAAAACAAATTTCGCAAATGCGTATAAACAGGCTCAGAGGGGCCCGTAAACGAATACGATGTACTTATAAATATTATATTTATGTACATAGACGCTAGCCCGTTGGAGTGTGGTCTCTGTTCGGTTTTTATTTTTAATAGCCTTTTGAATGGACAATAATAATATCGTAACTACGCACTTTTATATATATTTATGGTTTTGGCGGGAACAAAACGGGACTGTTGAGAGTAAGACTATAATGCCAAGCACGTTTCGAGAAGGAGACATGACCCAAAATTATACCCTTCGATTTATTTAATTTTTTTTTTTTTTTTGTTTTGTTTCGTCAACGTGCGGTCTACAGCACCAGTAAACCCACTCACATATGTTTCAAAATCCGGTCCCTATAATCGTATAATATAACAACATATTTCGAGGGTTCACACGCCGATGGCGTGAAACTTCTTGGGCCGAAATTCGTGTGTATATAATATCATTTTTATTGATTCTCTGTAGTGGATGGTCCGTGCCGTCGTTATTTTTTATTCGTTTGTTTTTTTTAACAATCATCGGTTATTGTTAAATAAATTATAATGAATGAATATCGGAAGTTAATTAATGATTAAGTAGATATACGTCTGTACGTAATAGTGCCGATAACTAACAGGTATTATGCGACGGTTAGAAAAAGCGATTCACTGATATAATATCAGTTGTAGCTTATAATTACTAATTAGAAACAAATATATACATACATGTTAGAACATTATATTGGATGTACCATGTACAATATTTAATTATACAGGTAGCGTCAGGAATAGCGAAAAGTATGTATGTTCTCAGGTGCAATTCATGAAGAATAACGAACGTTATTCTTCCAAGGTTGTTAGTGAATATACCTATTACTGAATATAACGTATTTTATTTTAAAACATAAAATACTTTTAAGACATTTACATTTCGAATATCGGAAAAAATAAAAGATGATTATAAGTCAAAAGTTGCCGTCAAAACATTCGTTCTGTAAATAGGTATATACTGCTATATTATATTCCCATATCGATGGTGAAGAGAATAGGCGCCTATATAGCAACAGTGACCTAGGAAAACTTTTATCAATCAATTAACACGTCGTCGTGGTCGTCTTTTGTACAGCGATAATTATAATTGTAGTGTTATCTGTATGATTGCATCGTATGATAACAAACATAATATATTATAAACTGGTTTCTGCACTGGATATAACAGTTGAAAATTCAAAAACTAGCCATATTGTCATGTATCTATATTATACAAAATGTATACAATTTAATATTATATTGTTAATATAATATAATATTATGTTGTTCGTACTCTACACGCAAGCGCACGGTCTGACGGTTATATTTCCGACCTTATTTTATTATTATTATTATTATTATTATTATTATTTTATTATTTTCGACTACAGGTTTATGCCAACCAGCAGTGTGCAGCAGTGCAGCTGGTGTCGGTTATTAAAAACAGCAGGGCTGTATTATATAAAATGGGGCTCACTAAAAAAAAAAATAAATAAATAAACCGGATCTCTGTACCGACGTATAGTATTGTAGGGAGTAACGACACCCTTTGAATTCGGAGACTCTTAACGGACAAAACGGACCGGATGGATGACCGTTTAAATGAATTTATAATTAGTCGAATCTGGAACGGTCTCCGAGAACAGATTTTGCACCGTCCGTGGTTGTAAATATAATTTTGCACTCTCACAAATTTCAGTAGGTCACGAGCGCGTATCGTGCAAATATTGTATTGCATTTACGTTCTATGCAGCATGCAACATTAACATCATATTATAATAATATAAGAGCCGTGCAGACATGATTTATATGTAAAATGAGAAATGAAATCATTAAAGCCCAATTTTGAATTATATTCTTTATAACGGTCTGCAATAGTTGTATGCATATTTGATATATAAGATATACAGTAGTATACATAATATTACATTATGTATACACAGGGCTGGTTTCGGAAATAGGTGACGTAGACACAAGCTTACGGGAGCCATGGGGGCAGTATTTCTTTAAGAATGATAAAAATATAGGGGGCTGCGAAATGTGATTTTTCCATACGTAAAAATCACTATCGCCAGCCTTGTACCTATGCTGTTATTATAAATCTTATATATTTTCTATAGCAAGTATAGACACGTACCTATGATATTGTATAATTTTCTATACAAAAATCAATGCTTATACATCTTAATTTTGATTTTTAAGCACAAATTGTTGAGTATTATTGACACTTATTGTCAGTCACACATTGTCATGGTCACCAAGAATCGTGTTTAATGAACTTTCGAAATGCAAATTCATAAAACAACATAAAAGTATGTGTTGTTATTCAATATCTAAAATTATTCGCCTTCATAATTATTTTAGAAGATGTACGGGTAATTGCATTTTTTTAAACTACAGCAACTTCAATGTGCTTAAGTGTACAATTGTACAAATTACAATCACAATGCCTCCATAGTATTTTTTGTTTTCAAAACGTAAGCATTATTGATTCTTAATAGTAGTAATTCTTGTGCTAATTTAGCATATGTCTTATCCTTATTAATAATTAATATGAACTATTTCAAAACTATATTCGTTGTTCCTATAGAAGATTTCTTATTTTCTAAAATCACTTTAAAGTAAATAAATTTCGAACCTATAATAGTTTTTAATGAACATACTGCAAAAGTGTTAGTATAAAATGAAAAAAAAAATAAAATAAAAAATTCAACGTTTCAATACCAACACTAAATTTATTAATTCGAAGATGAACTAATTTGCCTGGGGTCCAAAGTGTTGGTCTCACAAAAAGCATATTTTTCATGCCTTGACAGAGGTAGATAACGAGTTGACGTGTGACGTGCTCTTAAGTGCGTGACATTCCACCGTGTCCCATAATATATTTTTTTTTTTATAATTAATTATCTTCATATGTTTACAGTTATCCGTTTATCCGAATTTTATAAAGTTCAATAATTTATGTGGGGCCTAATGTGGGCCGTTAAAAACTAATGTAAAACAAAAACATGAAGCCAATGGGGTAGGAATGTTGGGTGACAGTGGTTTCCGACTTTTAATCTTGACGAGATTACAGCTGTATGAATGTATAATACAACTATTGTCTACGCCAGACGCCATTAGGACGGCGGTGCCATACTATTATTATTATTATTATTCTTGTTATGTTTTTTATCGGCCATTAGCCTTGGACGTTCATTCGAAGACTAATCGCATCTCCCGCGAGTGACGTTAATTAAAATGCATACTTTCATTTTACATATTATACAGTGTTCGTCAACACCTAGTCCATCGTATAGGTCGTACCGTGATCGTGTGTGACATAGCATTACAGTCGAGTATACAACTCATTTCCATCGAGTTATTTTGTTAACTGTGTAAAATTGTATTTCGGGATGTGTGTGTGTGTGTGTGTGTGTGTGTGTGTGTGTGTGTGTGTAGTGTAGTGTATGTGCACGTGGCAGACAGCAGAAGCCGTACTCGTGATGCTGGGAAACCATAGGTGAACAGGGTACGTTACAATGTATAAACGTCAACTCTTCTCTACCGTCGGAATGATTGGGTTTCAACGAAATTCCTCGTGAAAAATGTAATTTCTTTTTTTTTAACTTGTAAACTATATCTCTGTCACCCTCCGAGAGTGGAATACGTATAATGTATCTATACATGGAGAAACCTTTGCAAGTATTGAAAGGGGTAAAAATATATGGTAGATACATAATATATTAGTATAGGTTTTTCGAAAAGCGCTAAAGTTACTATCAACATGTGTAAATCGAAGGGATGAATAGAATATATACGCCTACGCCATACGCCTTGTGTTTTGTACCTACGTGTATAATATTATGTACATCGAGAAACCGTATAATTGTTTGAATGTCAAAATAATTATTAGAAAACAATATTAAAATCAGTCGCACGTTTTCATGCATAATTAAAATGACTACGGAATTAATACATTTAATTCATATTCAAAAACTTATAATCACACTTCCCCACGGATTTATATATTATGTATATGAATTTTAAATGTACGTTTTCTTTTTTACCTACGGATAATGTGGTTATAAAATTATTTTGAATGCGTCGTATAAAAGGGAGATGGTACATTAATAGGTTTGTGAAGGGGATTATAAAAAAACTGCCGTTAAGCACGTTCATCATTGATTCTAAGTAAAAAAACAAATACAAGAGGCATATTATTTATTTCCATTACGTTTGGTAACTATGACTACCGGAAGTTAATCAAACAAAATGTTCATATCACACTTGGAAAATATGCCTACCAACAATTATAATTAAAATTAAAATATATTTATTTGTTTATTTTTCGAACAACGCTTGGAGTGTTGATAATGAAAAGATAATTTTTGTGAACAATAGCCGTACGTCGTATACGTATAATAGCTTTCATCGCGTTAATATGTCGTTACCTATTAAATATAATTATGTACCTATAAACTCATATATACTTGAAACGCTACGTGATGTTAAACGTTTCATGATTATTGCATCTACTGTAGTATTATGATAAATTTATAATATATTATAAAAAAAAAACAAAGCCTTGGTTTTGCATTAGCCAGCTGGATAAATATTG